AGCGCCCGGTGCCCCACCGCCGCCTGCTGCAGGGCGCAGCCTGGGGGAAGGAGCGTGCGCTGCGCAGCGAAGCTCCTCCGTCTCCTGCGGGGCTTTGGGGCCGCGCCGCCGCTGGGGGGGTGCACTCGCCTCCCCAGGGCTCCGGGTGCACCTGAGCCTCCTGGGGGCCCTGGGCCTCCCAGTGGCCGGGGAGAGTCGGGGGGGGCAGTGGGGCAGCACGGGTGGGGTCGCTGCTTAGAAGGCCCCCGGGCGGGTGGAAGCAGGGCGCGCAGGGCGCGCAGATGTGGCTCCCTGGACGGCAGAGCGGGTCCCGGGGAAGAGGGAGGGTCCGGGGCCGCTGCGTGTCCTGGCTGAGAGCAGGGAGGTGTGGAGCCGGGGTGGCCACAAGCAGACAAATAACCGGAACGAATATTGCTCAAAGTCGCTGAAAACAATGTCTTTGGGCTGCAGCCAAATATGAGCTTTTCTTCCCATTAGCAGCAATTCGAAGACGGTATTACTGACCTAGAAGGTGGATTCACTCTGGAGCTTTGAGTCTGGGACTTTCCACTGGAGAGCCAGCCCCGCAGAGAGATGCCGCTGGGGGAAGGAGAGAAGTCCAGCCCCTCAGTGTGGCCCTGGGGGACCTCCGGGGACTGCCCTTCCTCTTCCTGAGGAGGGTCCGAGGGCAGGAGCCTGAGGGTCAGGAAGGCCCGGAGGACCCTGCCTGAGCCTCCAGCAGAAGGCTCCCAGCGGGGGTGAAGGGAAGCAGGGGCCCCCCCGGGCCCGGGAGTGCATGTTTCGCAGCAGGACTTTACATGGGGCTGGGCTGGGTTTAAACAAACAAGAGGTTCTGTTGCACGGCACTCGCTGGTGGCTGAAAATTCAAACGGTGAGTGAGTTTGGGTGTGGGCCTGCTTTCCTGGAACAAGACACCTGCAGGCTGGAAGGTAACCGCAGTGACCGCCCTGCACCACTTCCTGGTCCCAGGGGCCCGGAGAGGACACAGGGACCGATCTCCCGCACAGGACATCCAGCAAGAGGCCTGGAGACAAATGACGATGCCATCTACGAATCAGTCGGGAGCAAGCCCAGCTGCGCCACCCTCTCTGAGAAGACAGCGAGGGGGTGACAGGGCCGGGGTCGGAGAGGAGCTGGGGAGCAGGGGTCCTCCGTTCTGGAACTGAGGGTTCGCGAGTGTCGGCTTTGGGATCTTACGTTGGCCTCTGCGTACGTACCTCATGCAGTTTTCCACAGGCACCCACAACGCAAGGGGGGCAAGGGCATTAAAAAGCAGGCTGCGGCCCGGCCGGTGTTGCTCAGTGGTTGAGCGTAGTCCCCGGCACCAGGAGGTCACCTGAGGGATTCCCCGCTGGATCCCCAGTAGGGGGCGAGCCGGAGGCAG